TATTTTGACATGGTGAAACCAAACTGCAAAGGTTGTTCCTAAGAATTTACAGTTAACGTGGAAGCTCACCTGATGAGTAAATCTGTATATTCGTCTCTTTCAGAAGACACACACCACCAACAAAGCAGACCACAGTCCTGTTTACACCATGGATAGAGACACATTTCATAGCCAGCACTGTCCCATTTACACCATGGATAGAGACACATTTCATAGCCAGCAGCGCCCTAATGGAACTCTCTCTTCAACTGAGTAAGCTTGCATTCAGCAGTTCATGCGTGTCGTGCCTTATTTTATGGATAAGGTTTTCACAAAGAACCTTAGAATGAAACTTCTGCTTTTAGGATAATCCAGACCATTTTTCACCTTGTTTTTTGTCTCTACTTGAAATGCCACTGGTATTCTCAATCATATTTTATGTATGAACACTTAAAAAGCTTTGCCTAAAGGACAAATGAGAATTTTCTTCTGTCCTTTCAGACTACACTTCATATATTTTCACACAAAAAATGTATTGAAACAAGATTTAAACCTGTTATACATTTTTGGAGCTCTCCCTCCAGAGGGAGAAGCAAAGCACATTAACATTTAACATGGTGGTTTTGTCTTTTTCCCTTTCCTTCACTGTTTGCTGAAAAACTTACAACAGTTGAAAGGTAGAAATGTCAGACAGAAATCTGTGATCTGCCTCAAAATTAAGTTATGTATCACCATAATAAAACAGAGCATTTGTACTCTCTGGGATTCTCCATCTCTGTAATGGAGACCTGAACCATCAAAGGGATTGCGAATACTCCCAGATGAAGAGATCACAGAGAATGAAGGTCCTGAGAGTACTATGACTAGCTTGACAATCCAATGTGGTGTTCCCTTGTAAACGGAACAACCTTGTCTTTGATTTATTCTGGTACATAGGCACAAGAAGGTGCATGTCTCAGTGCACTGCTCATGTACAGCACGGCACAGTGCAGCAGCACAGGAACCAGCCACTGCCACACTCAGTCTGGGGCTGGAACCAATAACAGAGGCAGCATTCTGAATTCTGCCTGCCATTAACTGGGAAACACAAGCAAAATCTCATGTGAGACACAGGACGTGTTCCCTCCTGGTGTTTTCAGGGTGCTGGGATCTGCAGTTTGCATGCATAAAAAGACTGATGCTTGCAAGCAGAGAAACCAGTGTTTCTTGGAATTGATACAGAAATAGCTAGCACTGAACATCAACCCTGGAAGAAACTGTGTCCTTAAGTCCTCTCTGAACAACAGTCCATGAAGTTCTGGTGTTAAATTTAGATCCCTTCATAAACAGCTCAACCGATTCAGCACTAAGAGGGCCACAGGATGCCAAGTGCATCCATGATGTTCTTCCCAGGCCAAAAGAAACCCTGCATAGTGAAAATGAGAGCTTCAAGCAGGTAGAGGTTTAGTATGACTAAGATGTAAGTTTCTTCAGCAGCTGGGTTCTGCTGAGTAGCTAGGGCTAGAGGGAAGGAAGGTGTGCTATTCCCTATGATGTCCGGTCAGGCTCATTTCTTATTCTGAATGTATTTTGTATGTTTGAAGTTGCAAATCTGGTCCTCAAGTTCAACAAGCCTTTACTGTATTGTCTCCAGTGTGGCTTCAGAGTAGCCTGTCCATCCTAAAGTAAGCCAAGGTGGTTAAAACCAACTTCCTGACCACACACCCCAACATAACCACCAGGCACAATCCACATTTACCCCAATCCTTAAAGTTCTCCCTGTGGAAGTGCTGGTGCTCCTGCACAGCTGAACACAATTAGCCAGGTTTGTAACAAGCTCTGGGGGGGCTCCTGTGCTTCCCCATTAGGATGAGGCAAGGCTGGATTTCCCACCGAACAGCTGAGTGTCAACAAGGGCTGCTCATTAGTGAGATCCAAACCTCCCCAGGCCTGCTGCTTAATTTATGAGAGCCTTGTGATTATGATAAACAGGAGATGCAATCACCAGGGATGGTTTGCTTAGTTTGGGCTGGGCAGAATTATGTTCCAGTTATGCTTATACAAAGGCATATGCCAAGAACTGTTATTTTGTTGGTTTCTTCCTTAAAGGTCATACATGAAGTGTCCCGATAGGGAAACAGGGAAATCCATCAACTTTCCTGCAACTATTTAATGCAAATGAGCAACAAAACCAATAAAGTTTCTTCCCTTTTTCTCTACTAACATTAAATTTTTATCCTAAAATTCTGTTACAATACTGTTTAGCAAAACACAGCTATAAAACCTGACATGCTTCAAGAGCAGTTCTGTATCTTGCTCTCTGCTTACAGCATTCTGATGTATCTACATCTACCAGTAGACTATGATACCCAGAGAACACAGGCTCAGTTTAATGGTGGGAGGAAGGTGCCCCATATTCAAGGAAGCCCCACAGATCTTTCCCTGTGTCCCTGTCCCCTGGTTTCATCCCCACCTAATCACGGCTGTTTTATACAGTCAGGCATCTCCATGCCTCTAAACTCCAGCTAGCAAGGCAGACTATTCAGCTGTAAGAGGATGGATGGACAGGATAGCGAGGATTAATATTCTTGGATGTTTCCCTTTGTATGCAGAAAGCCAGCACAAAGGCACTAATAGCCTCTTCAAGCAGAGTACATTTTCTCATGGGGATAATAGCTCAGGGATAGAAAGAGAGAGCTTTTATACCACAAAGGCATGTTATCTTTCTTGTATGAAAAGTAACCATTTTGGGCTCTTCAGTGCAGAACTAAGCTACCTGGATTTACCTGTGCATTTGCACCTGGGTAAGGACAATTCTGCAATGTCAACAAAACATGGTTTAAGGAGTCTATCTCCTGCCTCCTCACTTGCACCTAATTTGTTTCATAACATAGGGATAGGAATTAAAGGCCTTCACTACAGTTTAGGCAGCTTGCCAATACCTATTTTATAGCAATAAAATATGTACAAATTAAGGAATCTCATGTGGAAAATTCATTCAGCAGCCTCAAAAGCCAAATGAATGGTAATTACTTCAGACACAATGTGGTGGCAATCAGGCAAGATTGGATCATGCTTTTAAATGTATGTCTAAATTTTTAAGAACCAAGATAATTATGAATTATGAAAATAACCCCACAATGCTACAGCAAAGACAGCGTTTGTGGAATGAGAGATCTTCTTAAGGACAGGGAAGACTTAATTCCAGCACCTGCATGGGAATAATCAGAGAGCAAATGCGGGGCTGATATTTTACTTCCTAACTTCTAAGCATCATTTTATACTTTAGGATAGCTCTTGGATGCCTTGAGGTACAGAGCAAGTGGAAGCATATAAGTACAAGTAAAAGGATTTATCCTGCTTATTGAAAGCAATGGAAGTTCTTTCTAGTTCCCATTCACATATACTGCAATGGGAAAATAAATTTGCCATCTTAGTTCTCTGTGCAAGTTTTGTTCAATTTGGAAAACTGGCTTAATACACATCCATATACGCAATGCCAATGGAACAAACACAAAGTGGAGTCACTTCTCATGAGGAAAGCTGAACAGATTGAGATCAAGACATCCATTTGTTTTAAAAGAAGACTGGAAAACACAACCATACCTTTGTTGTCTTTCTGAGATGTCTCCAGGAAACCTTTCCCTTCAGGAAAAAGTACAACAGAAGAGGTCTAGATTGAAATTAACCACCAGAGGGGGAATTCTATACATTCTGTATTCTTAGTTTTCCCAGAAATTGAAATAGGCACCATAAAAAGGTGAAACAGAGTGTGAGCACTGTGTCTCCTGAGATGGTTTGGTTTCACCAAAGATCAGGTGGGGAAAAAGAACTTCATGTTACTCAGGGTCACTGAAAATGAATGCTTTCTTAAACACAAACAAAATCAAAACCATTTCTGACTCACCAGCTCAGCTGTCAATGTTCCAGCTCAGGACTGTAAAGCATTCTTGCTGTGCCCAGCACACAGCCATAGGGTCATGTGCCAGCAGAAGGCTGGGGGTTAATACAGTGCACACAGACAAGGTGGAAGGGAATAAACGTCCTCCAGTGACATTCAGGATCTCTTTCTAAAAACACAATCTGACATGTTTAAATCAGATGTGATGCCGTAACCAGTGCTGATGCTTTCATTCTAATTCTTCATGCATTTCTGAGCTGATCCTATACTTTGCTCTGCACACTGCCCCCTCTTCACACTGCTGCACAGTGTGGGTAACATGGGGCTGATGCAGTGGGTCGGGACTCAACAAGTGGAGCCCTTCCTGGTATCCTGTACCTTGTTCCAGTGCAGCAGCAGCTCTGTGGTGTTGCTGCCTCTACATGATTAGCTTTAGACTCATCAGTGCACTGCATGTTGTGCAATGTCAAATCCACAGCACTGAGCATGCCCATGTGAGCACTGGGAGAAAACCAGTTCTAACAGTTCTGTGCAGTGCACCGGCACCCAGAGCTGCTTTGAAACCACAGCAAAAAAGCTGCCTGGTCACATTAGCAACTGCCTAACTAGGCAGCCTGCCTGTAACAGATCAACCCCACCACTTCCCAGGCAGTGCTGGTGGCTGTTTTGTCTTGGTGCAAGTTCAACAGGGGAACACAAGAACACAACTGCTCAGTGCAACTTGAAAGTGAATCATTGTTTTCTGGGGAGTTATTATAATTATTTCCCAGGGACCCTTTGTTAACACCAACAACAGCACGGCAAGGTCTGAGCTATTAGACAAAGATAACACTTGGAACTTCCATTGATCCCCAAACCTCTCTATCATCCATTGCTGTAAACCAGCTTACGTTATCTGCTCACAGTGTCACAGCAGCAGTGCCCTGGGAATGCTGCCTGGGGGTGGGCATTGCCTTGAGCTCTAAGGGAGGGAACTAAAGAGGGTCCCCCTGATACCAGAGGGGAGATGGGGAAGATAAAGCTCCCAGCCCCCTTCCTACCCTACCTCCAACTCCCATGGAAGCTGCCCACCAGCTACTGCTTCCTATGCATATGTATGTGTTGCTCTTTAATTAAAGCTATCTAGATGAGTCTCATTTGAGAGGCCTCTCCCTGTGGGAAGGTCTAGCACTACTCTCAGGCTCACAGTGGACTAAGTGCCAGCTTAACGCACGAGTGCCCATAACCACCATCGTGGCTGACAAGCACAGATGGATTGCCACCAGCTGGGGTTAGGGGTGACAGTGACTGACATGGAACCATCTCCCAGTGACAAACCTGGCCCGCTTAATGCACCCTGGGGCCTCTGCTGAAGGAATTTGATCTTACAGCAGTTCAGCAGGTGGGTACCTTGATGCCCAACTTGCGGGAATTGATTTTCTTTAAGCTCAGTGAAGTTTTAGCTCTGGAATCTTTTAATTTCAAATGCTCTTCTTCCTCTCTAGGCTGGGCCCCACCAGGAACACCTCTCTTCTCTTGTTTTTTTCTTGAAGCTCTAAATGAAAACCAAGCATTTTTAAATTATTTGAATTCTTGAGGAAGGAATTACTTGTTGATGTATTTTAAGTGTAATTCCCTCTCCTTAAACCTGTTCATAGAAGATCAGGTGTGAGACTAAAATTCCCCCCTGTCCACTCCTACCTTTACTCTTTGCTGACTTTTCAGCCTCTAGCAAAGAAACCTGTTGTGAAACAGGAAAGAAGTCACAGCAGAGCAGTAACAGCTCTGACAATTCATAGATCTCAAAAACTAAAACAAAATATAAATAAATGAGAAAGCAGAGTAGCAAAAGCACAGGTATGACAGAAGGGAACAGGGAGTTGAAACTGGATGGACTGAATGTATTCCTTTTTCATTTTAAGTTAAAGTTTAAAAATCCAATAATATCACACAGAGTATTTAAGGAGTGGAAAATGATGCTCAGCAATGAAGATGGGACAGTATGGTGATGTAATGTTTTGCTGCTTCAAACTTGCAGCAGACTTTTTTTGTTTCTCACCTACCCCATGTTTTCTGTATCCTCATACCTGGCTACACACATCTGCCCCCTGCACCTGGACCTCCTCCTCCTGACAAATAAAAACCATACCCTCAAAATCTAAATGATGCGTCACAAGAAACTTAAGCCACTGTTTTACGGGGATAAAGTTCGAGGCCTAACACACCCCTCCAAGATTCAGTCACACCATGAGCTCTTTTGCAGAACTGGCAACAGCAAATTCAATGTGACGTCTCTTTCTTTAAGGATTCCCATTACACACATGGTTACTGCTGAGCTTCTGAAGCTCCTGAGTGTTCTGTAATGAAAAGACAAACACAGCATTCAGGACATTATCTGAAAATGGCCAGAGAATTCCCCTTCCTAGATACTGGAAGCAGCAAACAATGCTTTGACCATGGAAGCAAAAAACCAAGGAGCTTGCAAGGGTAATTCCCGTTTCACTGCTACCAGATGAAGGTCCAATACAAGCCCTGATTTTCAAGGGGGCTGTGCATGTGTGTGTGTGGTTTACTTCTCACAGCTCAGCATCCCACAGAATAGACACCAGAATTGATTCTGCCTCCCTTCAGGCTAACCACGTGAAAATGCTGACTGACAGAATCACCTTAGGGTAATAAATCTGCCAAGTGTTTTGTTAAACAGCCATTCAGTTTGAAATGTATCCAGGCATTTGAGAATAACAATAGGCTACTGTAATGTATGGTGCATTAATTATACACTTGACAAGAAAATTACCCTTCAAGCCAAGATTACTAAAAACTTTCCTAGGCTTTCCTTACCCTCTCCTGTTAAATACAGTTTTCAGTGTGGCCCTCCCTGAGGTTCTGCCCACCTCCTCCCGCAGAGTTAACCAGCACAGCAGTGAAGTTCCAGGGAGATTTACACTGATGTTTAACTGAGAACATTGGTTGCTTCCCCAAATTTGATTATAGCTGCTAAATGATGAATATCAACATAAAAAATGGCCTTGCTTTTCCTCAGTGTAAGTTTTTCTGATAAACACAGTAAAACATTGCTTCAATATGTGGCTGTATTTACATCCCACACCAGGTACACTTGCACATCTCTGACAGTCTGTCTGCAAAGAAAAGCCATCAGCTTTCAAACACTCACCCACATGCCAGTGAAAGAGTAGGATCTCCAGTCTGGGAGGCAATGCAAAGATGCTGTAAATTAGTGTAAGAATCCAACAGAAAGGTGAATACCCTGTTACAAATGGAACAGAATTTGTGTGGTTTCCAGGCAAATACTCCTCCCTGATCCCTCTAACAGTTCTTGAGGTTTTTGAAGTCCACGGCTAAGTCCAGATGCCCTCAGTAACACGGTAAGATAGTGCTTCTGCACCCAAGTACCTCACCTCTCTCCTGTCACAGGCACCTGCATGAAGCTAAACCATTTCAGAAACTACATCTTAAAACCAGTAAATTCTTCCCTAATCCTGACTATGGGCTGTAAAAACAGAACCAGAGGTCACAGGAGTGCTGTAAGTGTCATGGGGGGACTTTGTTCTGTAGTAACTTCCAGTACAAACTTCTACTCAAACGTTCTGGGATGTGAAAAATTCTGTGTCAAAGACTTAAATTCTGCATCCAAGATGACTAGTTCTTAATTTTACTATAGTAACTATCTAAATACAATCACCAGTTATGCATTTGCCTGAGTCAGAATCTCTTGACACACAGCACAATCCTCTAGTGAGATTTCAGCATTCATGCACTGTTGCTGATACGGAAAAGCACTTCTAGTCCTGCCAAGACATAAGTGCTTACTAGCAGAGAAATGTCTCAAAACTGTACTGAAATATAGAGTATATTGTTAACTCTATAGACTAAAGAATATATTACACATGCTCTAAGTTGAATTAAGATTTAAAGCTCTCATAATTGAATACTCAATTTCCTATAATTTGAGGTACAAGCATGACTTCGAATCAAACACATCTGAAAACCACTGAGATCTGCCACCCCAAGGAGCAGTCTGCAAGCATAATGCATAATTTTTAGCATAATGTCATGCTTCCCTTTAACTGGGTGCAGAGAAATTCTGTGAGTTTAAAGCATAATTTTTAGAAGTTACATCTTTTATAGTCTGCTTTATTGTTGGTTTTGTGAACTCACTATTAAAATAAATGAACAGGCACCAGGGATTAACGGCCCACTCCAGCTTAACTGTTCTACACCCCCCTTTACCCAATCACATTACCTTGTAATTTATTCTAATGTAGCATGTATTTCCCTTTAAAGCCAATTTCTGTTCCTTAGGCATGCATCTGAATGCCTTTCTGATTAGCCTCTCTGATCGAAAGCCCACATAGCTCAAGCAAAATCCTTCCTTTTACTTCAACGGGCTGTTTATTATTCTTCTCTCCAGAAGTTGTGATGAGCTTGGTACCATAACCATGTTCTCTTTCAAGGAAAGCTTCCGGTGGAACAACAGGGTGGCCTAGATGCTTAGAGAAAGCAAATCAAACTAACATACTGTGCTCTCATGATGGCCAAGAGGAGCTGTGCACCAGAGAGCAGACTTCCCAATAGTGAGTCAGTCAGTACCAACAGATGCATCCTTTCACAACTGCTGTCAATAATCCAGTACATGCCCAAGTTACAACCCAGTTCTGTCTCTGACCTCAAGGCTAGCAAACCTGAAGTCCTGTTGCAGTTGATTTCAGTAGAAGCCAGGTCTGTCTGGTTTCAGCCACAACTGGCAAACAGCTGAAGACTCTTGTGTGTACCTGCAAGTCTAGAGAAGTTACAGAATTTTGGAGCAGAGGAGTGACATGGGATGAGATGTGGTTGATGAGAAGGAAGTTTAAGAGAAGGAGACAGAACGCAAGGGATGCATTATGGTAACAGAAACTCACAGAGAGAAGGCTTTGTCCAGGATAAAATTGTTTGGTACCTGCCAAACACTGAAATATGAAACCTGGAGCTTCTCATTCCCAATGGTTCAAACCATGTTCCTGTTCCACTACCCTTCTCTCTAAAATACATGTACACATGCTGCGGAGTTTCCACAATGTAGCCTCACTTCATTAGAGCTCTTGGGTAGAACTTGACATGAAGCATTTTAACTCAATACATATTTAACTCAATACTGCTGGCTTAACACTATTTCCATCATCCATATACTTCTTCCTCCCCAAAGAGAGGTATTACATACTTCATACAAGGGATCAGATTTATTTTAATCTCTACATCACCTCAACATTTAATAATGCATCAAGGGAATCAAAAGAGAATAGACCAAAAAACAGGCCTGAAGTCTTCCTCACAGTTTTCAGCTTACTAATTCTTGCTTCATCCCATCACCCTGATGACTGAGTGTCTTCCACAGAGGTGGTCACACTGCCCAGCTACATTCCCAAACTTACCAAATTTCATCTGAAGATCAGCTACACTGGATTTGCCATTGCTCTGCTGTAATCATCTCACTTGTCTGACATGAACCAGAGCCCTTGTTTCACAGCTTCATCAGACCTACAGCTTCAAGGACTCAGTCAGGACCACAGGCTTCAAGCAGCAGATAACACCCAGCACTTTGACACTGCTCAAGTGATTGCGCTTGCAGTCAGGGCTGCATAGCTCAACCACGACTGGCCACAGCTGCCAACATCACCCTAGTGCTTCCTGACTGCAGATTCAAGAGTCGTTATCCTCACAGATCTCCTCAAGCACTCTTTTATTCTTCTTCTCAAACAAGATAAAGAGATTAAGAATCTAAGTCTCTCTTTATACAGCCTGATTTTCAAATCTTTCCTGTAACCCTTTCCTAAATAGTTTCCAATTTGCCAACATCCCTTTTAAAGCTCTCACATCAAAATTGGACACACATTTCTGATAGTCAAGTGAGAGCCCTCAATGTAATCAGCACAGTTCTATTGAGCAGGTTTCCATTTTACAGCTGTGCTGTCACCACTCACTGCCTTTGGGCTGCACACGCTCTGTTTGTGCTGCATTTGAACGGGGCTTTCTCTGGTGGAAAGGACAAAAAAAATAAATGGTTGCTTTCACAGCAGTTCAGTGTGTGCTTGGTGTAGATCCTACACAATTCCATTACATAGATTCACAGAATCACAGCCTGGTTTGGGTTGGAAGGGACCTTAAAGCTCATCCAGTTCCAATCCCCTGCCTTGGCCAGGGACACCTTCCACTAGAGCAGCTTGCTCCAAGCCCCTTCCAACCTGGCCTTGAACACTGCCAGGGATGAGGGAGCTTCTAAAATGAGGTGTACTTAAGGCTTTTGTACTGAGGGGTAGGGGAACATGAGCAGAAACCAAGACGTAAAAAAATATCCCCCTAACTTTAGGGAAGTGAACATCATGTGGCCACTACAACCCTGACGACTGACAGCACAGCTCTGCAGCTGGAAAAGTCTCTGTGGTCTCCATGCTCAGGAGCGCAGATTGCTGCAGATGTTGAAGAGGAATCTTGGCTGTGATGACTTTGAAGACATCAGGTTACAAAATGGAAAATCCCTTCCCAACAGGCAGTGCAATTCCAGTTGGCCTTTGCCTTGCACAACTTGCAGGGATTACTGGCAACTTGTGTAGGCAACTGTGCAGCTGTAAAACATCTGGCTGTATTTTACAGGGTGAGCACATGCTTGCTAGGCCCCACTTCACAGTAGTATGACAGCAGCACTGGCTGCTGACAAATGGTGCTATGTCTCTAAGAGCCACTGTGATACAGTCCCAAACCAGAAATGCCACAGCAGTCACATCACAAGAGACACTTGTGCCAGGAATCACATCACTCAGATTTTGCATTCCCACAAAGTACATTTCCTAGATATCTTCCATGAGAACATGCTCTGTACCATCACTGCCAGAAACAACCTGGCTCACTGCAACTGAACACCAGCCTTGCAGGCTGTGTGTTCATGAGCTTGAAGTGCTTTAAGCGTACCAAATACTTAACTCCGCTCACTGTGATGTTAAAAAGGCTGCCAAAACTGCAAAGCTTGCAGAAGGAGAGAAAGCACAAGGGGAGGTTCAAACCAAACAATAGCTTTAAAGAGATGTAGAAATCGGTGACAGCAAGAGATTCCAGGTACCCATTAAAATCTCTGCTCTCCCCTAACCTAGACACAGTCATTTCCATCCTTTTCCCCTGCAGCCAGTAAAACAGCATTAAAAGAAAAAAAATCAACAACTTTCCTACATTTACACAAGTGGAACAGTGAAAACCAATGAAAGCCACTTGGCATCTTTATAAGACAGTTCAAATAAAAATTAATGGCACATGTAATAATTCCAAGAGTATTTTGTTTCCATTTATATCCAGCTAAGAGACAATTTTTGGTGCATTTGGTTTTATAGATCTGTGTATATGTAGCAAAGTAGAAATCCTGCACATGGGCAAATAAATAAGAGGCTATGACTGGCTGACAGCAAGATTTGTAGAGCTAATTAGTTCAATGAATAGGAAAGGCACTCAAAATAACAGCTCATCAAATAGTTCTTCATACAAGAGAGATCTGTCACCCTGCCTATGCTGAATAAATATTTTTACTGTCTTCCAGAGATCAGTGCCAACAGAAGCAAATAAAACCAGAACAACAAGAAACCCCCCCCGCAACTCCACTGACTCCAACCCTCCCAGGCAGCTGCCAGGCTGTCCATAAAGGAAAGGTCCTCAAACATCCATAAACCCTGTCCTGTCACACAGCACAAGAGCTGCACATGCTCCTGTTGTTGCATTACATCCTTTCTTGCACTGTTATCAATGCACTGTGCTGAAAATCATGATTCATTAGGAAGACACAACATATTCCCAAAGCACACTCATGGCCTCGTGGAAATGGCAGCACCTTGGGCAGACATTTGAGGTCAATTCACTTCTGTGAGAGCTCGCCACGGAAGCGCTGTCATCAGACAGAGCAGGTCTGAGCAAGTGCCTTGTGGTGGGGGTCCATGGGGTGAGGTACTGCAGATTAAGGAAATAATCACGTTTTGAACTAGTAACAGATTAGACTAGAATCAACAGTGTTCTATAGGCAGGATTCTAGTAACACTGTGGGGGTTTAAAGCCCACACATATTACCTGATTCAATCCCTTCTCTCAGGTATAGCTTCATCCCCTCAGGAGAACTTCTATGAAATACATGATTATGAGAGGCAAACCAGGTTACAAGAAACTGTTCTGGGCAGAGCACTTGGTTACAGTGAGCAACATAAAGCACTCACCCATCTGTATCTCGTCCTTCTTGATGCAGAAGAGTAAATAACATACTGAGTTAATAATAACAAGTATCAAGAAAAGAGGAAGTATAAGGAAGCACAGAGGATGCACAGCTGACTGAAGCCAAAAGCAAGGACCCTACCCCTTCTAGTAGCAAGTGCTGAGCAGGAGAGAGAGGAGGGAAAAGTTCAAGTTTAGAAGCAGCGCACAGGAGGGAATCACTCACACAGGTACCAAGAGACAAAGAAACTCCCCCAAAGGGCCCCAAGAGCTACTTTACATCTGGTCACAAATGAGCCTGCCCCATCCTCAGCAGCTCCTGCCAACTGTTACCAGCAGAACTGTCCCTGTTACAGAGAAATGTAATAATGTTACATAGTCCAAAGTAATTTATGGTTTACATGGTTTTAGTATTGACATTTAAGTGCACCATCAGCTCCTCTGGCGAGTGATATTTCTAATTGATTTGAAATTGTGATATACCTGTTATTCAATCAACTCCATTTTGCAAACTAAATTGAGATCTGAAACCAGGCCAAGAAATATAACAAGACTGTAGCAGCTACATATTTAAAACAGGAGAAAAAGTAAACCATCTGTTTGCTTATGTATAGTAATATAAAACATATCCTTGCCATCTCTTTTGATTTTGCCACTGTACTCCTTTGAAGAACACAGAAGAAAACTGCTTCAGCTATAGCTGGCTTTCATCATCCTCCCCAAATCTTAGTCTTCTTTTACAGCAAATCATTACAATTCTATTCATCTTTTTATGCCTATAATCCAGAGTTTCAAGCACACTCTTGGATATAAAGGCCATTTGGGACAAACATAAATTGATGAAACATTGGCCTTGTCTTCTTAGCATTTCAAAATGGTGACATATATTTCAGCATTTGAATGTTTTTAAAGCAGAGCCACGGCAGCGAGTGAAGAACTGAGTAAACTCACATCTGAACAGTAAATTCACATCTGAATTGGTGATTTAACTTCTTACCACCGCTTTGTCCAATCCTCCTGAGCTTCCTTTTGAACAAAGCTGTTCAACAGGTGCGCTTCCACCCAGATACTGAGCCTGGCTCTTGAGAACATGGCACAAAAAGGGTCAACTGTCATTTCTGTTCCACCTCCTTGTGCTGCCCCTGCGGGGCTCAGTAACATTTCCCAGGTTGACTGAGGCACATGGCCAGTGTGAACAAAGTCCACACTCACAACTAGTATCACCCATAACAGATTGTTTCTCCTGTGCTCACCCTCTCATACTGAGCTCTTGTGTGTGAACAGGCCCCAGCCAGTGCTGCAGCTGTGACCGACGTGCACCAAGTTGCTATTTCCATTATCCAGCCCCATTTCCAAGGTTTAATCCACCAGCAATTCCAATCCACCAGTATTCCACAGCAGTAGTTATCCCACATGTACGAATCAAGCTGTAAATGACAAGCTAGCCATTCTGACTTACCACAGCATCCACATCCAGCTTGGGTTTAACTTCAGAGTCTGTTCTTAGTACAGAAAGGGAATTCATTTCATCCTGTATAAGAAACAGCAAAGAAATTGAAATGAAACACTGGGGAAAGCATCTCCCGATGTTTTTCACCAAATTTATTCATATAGTATATAGACGAAAAAATAAAGGAAAACCTAATGTATTTTTTGCACCACAAAGTAACACTGAATTCAGCCTTGCTCCTGAGCACTGGGAGTTTCAAAGCTGGGTATGTAGGTCAGGTACACAAGCCCCACAGAAACGCAACTTCACGAGGCTATTTCTGAAACACTTACTCTGAAAGAACACAGATATGGACAAATTCTTTGGGAGCTGAAGTCAGCACAGGTCTTTCCACTTGGGATGAAACACCAGCAGAGAGCTGACATCTTTTATCTTTCCAGGTGTCAGTTTTGGCCTCTGCAAAAAGGTGAAGTACAGAATCCTCCTGCACAAAAGGGAAAATTCATTCCTTTCATGAGCATGAACCCTTTAGCCATGAAAATGCTCCTTCCTCTGACAGTCCAGGCAGTCCATGACTCCATCTTGGGCCACTGGCAGAAGACATGAGCACCCACAGGGTGGTTTGTGTGCAGCTCCAGGCATGGGGAGGTTTGGGGTCTCCTGCAATAACAGCCAGGGGTGGCTGTGCACAGTTCCATGAGCTTTACAAAAGAGCAGCACAAAAGCCCAGCAATGTAACTGTAGCTAAATCTGTGCTGGAGCAGCTGGATCTAAATCAGGAGTAAAGCTAAGCCTGTGTAAATGAGTAGTGTGTAAAAGGCAGCACGGCTCATACATGACTGAAATGGAGGCAAGCGCTGTACACATCTAAGAGCTGGGAGCACAGCAATTACTCTGCATTTTTTGTCAGGAGGCCACCACAAAACGCATGCAATCCCTTATGCCAACAGAGAGAGATGCTGCTTCAATCTGCTTTACATGTGACAGTGGAAGAAAGAACAAACTGATCAAAACACTGCACCCTGTGTCTTTCTACAGCGTACTTAGAGAGGCAGAAACTACTACTTTAGAGGAAATTCCTTCATCTAATATTATTCTGGTTTTTAGATCATTTTAGGCTGGAGTACTTTCCCTGGACTGTTGTAGCCTGAGGTATCAGCAGGGGACTGAGGAGAGACTTCTGCAATATGAAAAAGAGCAAAAATTGATTTGTGAAACATTTCAAGAAGCAGGAAGTCCAGCCTTGGTAATAACAATATTAATGTAACAACACCAGTAACACTGTTGTGTGAGCAGCACGTGTGTCCATCATCCCCTTTAATGTGACTTCCAATCTTCAGGTTTTCTTCCATACCCAGGAGAGTTCAGAGCATCTTCTCTCAAGCCAATCTAATTATACCAGTAAAAAATGGAATGAAATAGTCCTATTCATAGATTTAGTTCTCCCTCCTGCATTATGGCACCTTCTTCTGTTTTAGTGCTAACTGTGAAAGGAAACAATGATGAAGCACACCAGGAGTGAGCAGATGAGCACATATAACTTGCTCAACTACCTTCAGTGTCTTATGTAATGTTCAATATTGATTTTGATTCAATGAGACTTCTATTAGAGTTATCTGTTCTAACCAGCTGCCAAATGTACCTGCTCAGTAATGTGTCCAAATTCATTAACAGTTTTGTTTTAATAATATTTCATTTTAAAGTTTAATTTTATCCACACATTAGCTTCATATTACTTATGCAAATAAAAGCTTTATGGCTATATTAGCAATAATTCATTATCATTCCCTACTGGCTTAGTGAAGGAATTTGTAACTTTGGAGTATATCCAGAGTTTTTAATTGAAGATACTAAGGGAAGCCTACATTTAGTTAGAATCATTTGCACATACAAATTAACTATGATTAGCATAAGTCTCTCAAACTCTTTCCAGGCTCCCAGACAGATTGTCTAGGATAGGACTTTTCCCCAAGTCCTGTCTGAAGGGTAATGTACTAGAGGTGGAATCCAATAAGCATCCTGGGGTAAAGAGGCTGTGGCTGCTGCAGCTGGGATCCAAGGCAAGCCAGTAATCTGTTCCCTTCCAGCAACTTGGACCAGATAGGAGTGAAGGATGGAAATACCAAGAGTGTATGGTCATGTTGCAAAACCACGTATGGTTTAGCTGCTTGGGCAGAAAGGGTATGTTTTGGTGCAACTTTACTCTTTTCTGTTGCTTTACATCTTCATAACCAGCCCCCAGTATGGAACTTACAATGACTAACTGGAGAGAATACTGCAGGTAGATGGACTTGGTGATAATGACCTACCTGTTCAGTATCACCACAGGTAGTCTTGCAGGGCTGGGTCTTCTGTGTTCCAGTGTTTTTGTCTCCACTCCAAAGGTGGAGGACTGGACCCTGAATCATCTCAGAAACCTATTAAGAAAATTACTACATAGGTACTCCTTTCTTTGTGCACTAAATGAGCTCTTGTTGGATGAGAAACCGGCTCATGTTTACTTTATTATGTCCCAAGTCACTTAAGGACTGTAGGTATCTTCCCCATCTCCTACAGAAGATGTTTTAATTAGCCAATTATATTAGTAAAAAGCAATCTAATTTCTAGGCCAAACAATAGCATGGCACAGATATTAAAATCAAATTAGCAAGCCATGGCAGTGTCTTCCTGTAGCATGCAAACCCCACCTCCTGCCCAGATAATTACCATTATGTCTGCGTGGTGATCTGTGGCACGGAGAAAACACACACGCTGTGAGTAATGAACACGGTGACAGGTGTAAGAATTTCTCTCTGCTGTCTCTCTCCACCTTTTGCCCTTTTAATTTACGTTATTAGTAATCATGGTGTGTCCTTTAAATACATGCTTTAGAAAACAAACAGCATCAAGTGCTGCTCCAGGAGATTCCGCTCCTGGTGCGCTGCAGACTTCCTGCACGACTCCAGCAAAGCTTCACAATTTCTATGCACTCTGCTGTAATAGGACAAACACCTTCCCACCTCTTCCCTCCCTCCATGTCAAGTCAGTTTTGTGAGAGAGAAGAGGCCTCACCATGTCCTTGTGTCCGAGGCAGAGCGGCAAACCCCAGGCATTCGCAGCTCAGGATGGTCAGGCACAACAGCAATGGTTTTCTCCACAAAGAAACTCCAGCCATGTAACCTTTAACTGTGGTGGGAGATGTGAAGCTTTCTTCATAAAATACTCATATTAACAAAGAGGAGAGGGAGAGAGGGAACGGATCTTACAGCCTTGACTCCATACAGACCTTTTCTTTGCTCACAACCCTGAGTTTAAGCCAAAGCAGAGAATTAAAATGTTTGATCCAGGACGAAACGTGCTTTTGATTGCCAAGTAGTGAAAGCTGAAAGGAATCTTTTCAGTTGTGCCTAGAATCCACCTTCTGAGATGGAAACAGACTGGAAGCCTGTTTGTCTGGGGAATCAGAAACAGCCATTTACAGAACAACTAGCTGCTTTGAAAAGGCGCTTCCACCTTCGCCTGAAAGAACACAGGAGCCAGCTCTACCCTTCCATGCTCCAGCACTCTGCAGCTCCTGCTGCCTGAGCACAACTCTGAGCACACCCAGTTCTCTCCATAGCACACGCAAAGGCCATGGCAGCAGCACAGCCGCCCTGGAAAGGCCAACAGATCGATTGTTCTGAACCCCTGAACTCTGAATGCTTCTTACACCCCTCCACAGGTTCTGAGGTGTAAAATCACCCCTAACAAAACAGTAACAAAGTGTGGGAGCACCAAAAGGATGAAGTGGAAGAGAGATGTTAGGGGCCCTCCTTCCTCCCCTGGGATGCTGAGCCCTGCCTCTGCTGCACCAGCCTCAGCCCCAGCACAAGGCTTGATCTGACCAGGAGTAAGTGCTCCCCAGACAGCATGTGACAGCCTAGAAACACTCGGGATCCCTCCTGACACATTTCAGATCTGCTCTAATCTCCCTACATAAAATGGTAGTTCTTAAAGATGCAGAATATCTACATATCTGAACCCAAATTTGATCTGCTATAAAGGAGTGTAAGGGAGGGATAAGGGGAAATTTCTGCTTCCCTGGCTGTTGCTGTATCCCATGTTTCCTCTGTATTTACTGTACTGCTGAATGGAAATTCAGAGGTTTTACAGTCAAGAGGAAAGGCAAATGAAATACAAAGTATTCCAGTGCTGTTCTAATGTAACTGCTGTCAACATTGCCAGTTACTCCTCCACAGTCAAAAGCATTGTATGTACTTTATTTTGAAGGAGCTTAAGGCCTGGAATTCCTTCACCTTTCCTCACCCAGTGCCCCCTTTCCCTGCTACCCCCAGTGCAATTAATGCACTGGATTAAACCACATGCTCCATCAGCTAATCAGAAAAGGCCAATTAACAACTCGATTTTCTTCAAGCTTTCTGAGAAAACGCACCCAGGAGCATCCACCTATTTTTGGAACCACTGATATTCAAACCTGAGACCCCAGGACTTGCTGCACTTGCTGCTGCTGAAGTCCGCATCAATGTCAACCAGCTTTGGCCAAAGAGGCATTAACATCAGCCTTCTCTGTATCCACTGGGGGATGTCGCTTCTTTTGCCATTTGCTAGCTACAGTAAATAAAGTATTGTGAAATGACAGCTCAGTAATTCTGCAGTATTTCATGCAAGGGGCTGCTTGTCACCTGCCCTTCAACCCTGTGACATGATTTCTACAATCACCCCCCCCAGAATCCTCCTCCCTTCACAAGGTGACCCTGTGTTCTGTTACCTTGGTGTCACAGACATCAAGACTGGGCTCTGTAATTAACCCATAGGAAATGCTGACTGAAGCACACAGGGGAGGGCATGATTCCTCACTGTGTTAGTGCCCAGTTTCTGCTGCAAGGGAACAGCTTTCTGTACCGTTACAGGTGGCTATTTTCAACATGTTGAATTCCCAGCCCAGCAGCTGGAAAGCATTGGCTCAGCAATCCCCCCACTCATCCCCAGACAAGGGCTTAACCACTGGCATAACTTCACTGCAGACACCCATAGGCTTCCACCCAAGGGGCTTTCTGGGCTCAAGCACACACAGCTCAGTCTTGGGGAGCTTCTCATTACACAATACCCACAGTGTCCTCCTCCTCAGGACTTCTCCATCCACTCTTCCCCAGCCTGTGCTTGTGCTTGGGATCACTTGGACCCAGGGGCAGGACCTTGCTCAGCTTCATGAGGTTCACATGGACCCACCTCTCCAGCCTCTATAGGTCCCTCTGTATCCCAGCCCTGCCCCTCCAGCCTATTGACAGCGCCACACAGCTCAGTCTTGGGTACTTACAGCTCATGTTTATCTTCAGTTTTACAGAAGACTGGGGTATAAGCAGGTCTTAACAGTGGGGAACAGTTAAGGAAAAAATGGGTTGGGTAATCTTGGACTTCTGGCCCCCAGTGTAGAACTGGGATGAGAATAGAGACAAACACCATAATGAGAGCACACTGAGCAAGATCCAGGTGTGAGTGCTCCAAGTTCTAGTGCCATGATTTTGGAATGAACTTCCCTCCCCCAGTGTTTAGCTACAAAGTGTTTGAGTAAAGAATGCTAAATTACATGCAAGTCACATTAAGAACAATCAGTCTCATGTAATAAGGAATCTAATAGTTCATAAATGAGATGCAAATTCATTTTTACGGGTGCACTATAATAAGCCAATTATTTCAGAGCTCTTCAATTATGCAGTTTCAAAAAGCTGAATTGCTTTAAAAAATTTCTTTTAAGAAGCTTTAGGTTTTTCCATAGCTTACAAGGAAAAATAAAATATATCTGCCTTGCAAGCAACATGAAAACCCCATCTTGCCTTACTGCAAGCAGCAGCGATACAAACAGCAGCACAGAATCCTTAGGGTTGGAAGGGACCTCTGAAGATCATCTTGTCCAACCCCTCTGCCAGGGCTGCAGCCCTGAGTTTAACTTCATGGGTTGTCCACATCAAGCCCCATTTGAAGTTTGCAAAAGGAAAGCAAAGCCACTGCCTCCCAGTGGGCAACCCCATTCCACTGACATCTTGGTTCCTTCAGTTCTATTGCTAATGATTACTTACAGGGAAACAAAAGCAAAGCCAGTTGTGAACGAGAGGTCACATGAAGGAGCAAACCATTCCCCCGTCTCAGGCCTTTTTAAGGCTTTGCTGCACTGACAGCTATAGTGTTGTTCTCCAGGGCACCTCACTGCTAAGTCTTGGTGAGATGTGGCCTGCTTTTGGTCTGTGATTTTCAAGTGGAACAAAACAGTCAGAATTCCATATGTGCAATTCCTACCTCTAATACAACCCTTTTTCCTCCACAGAGCCACAACACACTTCACAGGGGCAAGTCACGAACAAACTGAACAAACTCAGTAATGAACTTAGTCTTACGGTGATCATACATACTTAGGAAGTGCTGGGCTCCTGCCCAGTCCTTGTTGTTACCATTTAACCTTTTTCCATACAGCAAATACACATACATGAACCAAGGAAAGGACTTCCCTTTCTGTGCAATGAATAGACATATTTTCCAGCCTTTGCTTGCAAAGTGTTTGGATCAAATGAAATGTGCAGACCAAAGTAAGGGCTGTGAGAAGTGGTAATTGCAGCATCTGTCCCGCTCCCTGAGGGCTGAGGCAGCTGGCACTGGGTATGCAAGTGCTATCTGTTTGTCCTGCCCTGCTGAGACTCACCTTCTGGCTCAGAGCTCTTGCCTGTCTCCCTCCTGTAGCAAGCACAGTACTGCTATCCACGGCCTGTGCTGCTTGCTCCCATAGGAATGCCTCCTGCTGCATCACAGGTACACAGAGCTGCCAGGGCAGCCTCCCTCAGGGATGTCGTGATAGGGAAGCAGGAAATATATCCAGAGAAGTGAAGCCAGCATTCAAACACAGAGGTCATAGCCTAGACTAAACCAATTCTTACTCCTGGAAAACTTACCCAAGCTTTTAGGCCCATTGGCTCCTATTTTCAAATCTGAAAGAGAAGTAGCGGATTTGAAACATGCACCATGTGCTTGCTCCCCAGGTGTAGGTATTTTTGAAGCATGCTACTTCTGTTTCATAATTCAGGTCATCTTACATGTCTTATGCATATCAGCACTCAAGTGAAAGATACAGCCTCTACTTGGTAACTTGTCTTAGAACAGCTTCACCACCCAAACCACTACAGGGGTTTCCCTGCCATCACAGAGATCTCTGCTTAAAGCCCTACAGAGTTAGATGCTGAAAAGCAGGAAAACATCTAACTTTCCCACTCCCCTCCATGTCCATTACAAGCCTTTGTCAGGTTTGCCACCAGGACTGACTGAGCAAGGATTGCTCTGATGAACCTGCCAAACCTTCCTGGACAGAACATCCCAACAGATCAAGTTTGGGAGGAGCAGCAAAAGAGGCAATAAATTAGAGCACAGCCTTCTACCTGGTCTACATTTCTAGAGGTAATCCAAAATTGGCAGCCAGATTGAGAATTACTTGCTTAGTTTGAAAATGCTTTTAGAGCAAGGCTTAGAAAAATGTACAGCAGTGTTTGAACACATTCCAATTGAAATCCATGTGCACTGTCTGCAACTGGAAAATGATCCTCATTTTAACTTAAGACCATATTCCAGAGAATAAGAAATATAAAAGTCAAATCTTACAGTCTGGATCAGGACATTTGTGACTAGAGACTGAGGGAGCTTTGGAGAGGACATTACTTAGAGCTGTCTTGAAAGCAGTGTCTGAATCTGCAGGCCCTTGACCTTCTGGGACACAATAATTCTAACAGCATTCTGGCCTTATAACGCTGTACACTGTACAGTGAATACATGCATCAGTCGCGGGTAAGGAGCTTACTAATAAATTAGTTAATTTTTTTTCCTTCAGCCAAAAGGCAGCACAAGCCATGGCTTTATTTACAAAAGGTTAAAGATTCCTTTAATTGGATTGCTGGCATTTAGGCGTGCAGCAGAATATCCTTCAGCAGTGTCCCCTTTTATTTGTGACTGGAGAAGTGCCGAGAGAAATGCCAAGGGAAGATTTCATTTTAATAAAAAAGAAAAGCTTAAGATCCCTTTGGAGGCTTATGTTACATCTTGAAACTACCATGAGCTAATGAATTTCATCTAAAAGGTCCCCAACCACAGGACTGAAGAGAAATTGCAACCCTGGTATAGCTTGACCAAGTTGACTTTGTGTGTTAGCAGTTGCAGCCTCGTGCTCACGTTCTGATATGAATGCAAACACACACATCTGAAATATTTAGTCATGTAAAAGATACTTTTAAGTGAGAACTGTGGTTGTCCTACAGCATCCTAAAGACACTTCAAAGACCCGTTTGTGGCAGAAACTTGCACATTAACAGAGCAACAGGAAAATCCTCCCCCCAGTCACTGCTTTGGAAAAAACTACACACCAAAAATTGTGCTGCCTGGAAGAAAAATAACCCCTTGTTGGCTCATACTGGGGTCAAGCTGAGGGCCCAGTGCTGCACGGTGCTGGAAGGCGTGTGCACTCAGCAATACCAGGCTGAGTTATTATCTCACAGTTATTATATTGCACAGCATGGAAGTCTCTCGGGAGAGTGGCTCATGTACACTTTGCATCCCTAGAAAGCAGGGTGGGAATTTATGAGGGAAGAAAATAGGGTCTATAAATTACACAAAGGACCTTTAAATCGAGGTATAGGTTTCATTACTGGAGCATGTCACAGGATGGTCAAAATTAAAACCAGCTTCTAGAGAGTGGATTGCATTTAACTTCCCATTTGCGGAGAAAGAGAAGCAATTTCAAACATAGCATCTATTAACTGGGCAAGTACAAGTATGATGCCAAATTTGCATCAACACAGTAAGTGACCAACATGTAAGTTATCATCCACCTCTACTTTAACATTTCATTTTGCTTTCTAAAATGTGATGATTAGAACACTGCCTTAATGCCATGACGGATTTGAGAGCCAGAATCTACCTATTTTACTAACACCATAGAAAGCATGAGAGAATGCTTGTGCAATGGCTGAGCTCCCATATGCTGCAGCTGAAGAGCCAGAAGAGAGAAGAGGTACCACTGAGAATGTGAGCAGAGTTCAGGGCTTTCCCAACTATGTGGGATAAAGCACAGCAGACAGCCCTACCCACATGCAGAGCATCCCAAAGTCCTGCACTCATCAAACCCCATCACACCCACCTGGTGACACCAGATCCTCCAGAGATGTCCCTACAGTCTCCCCTATTTCAGCATAAGGACCTGCAGCAGCATGAGGCACACCAGCTCTTTGCTCACCAGATACCCGTGCTCCCAACAAGCACCAAACAATCCTGGAGAAATTTCCTTATCTTACAGACTTCCAGTGTTGTTTTCCTGTTGAAAGCCAGAGCTCCCTGTGCTTTGCTGTGACGCTCCTATGTAATGAATTATGACACCTTTGTGGTGGTACAGAAAAGATGGAAACATACCTATGAATGTGCCACCAATCCAGAAACCAACCAGAAGGCAGATCAGAAGAATCCACAGCTGCACTAAAGCAATCACTCATTATTTTCAAGTCACTAACACAATTTTTGGAAACATGCAGTTGGGAAGCCTGAACTTCCCAATTCTGTCACCTGAAGGGCAGAACTCTCACCTGTTCCAAAAAACAAGATGCAGGTTTCTTTCCAGCTCAGACCTTCAAATAGAGCTGGTGGTGCTCAGACCTTCCTGGAGTGGAAGATGCCAAATCCAAACACAGACACTTCCATTTGTGTGCCTATTCTACCACGCTTCTGCTTGGAAAGATATCCAGAGAAAGGAAAACATATTTCCACGTTTTAAAATTTGGAATGGCTTTTCATTCCCAAATGGCAAACATTTTAAATCATGGGTACAATATTTAAAACTATCCAAGACAAAAACCAAAATGTCTCATTCAGGCTCAGGAAGAGGATTCATTCTGCCCCAGAACTACTTTTCCCTTTCACTATTTTGCTTTCTCAATCATTCTGAACCAACCCTTGAGGTTTGGTCTGGAATAAAAACACATCTTTAACAAGACACTTATTCATGTAGGGTTCATCTTCCTCTCCAGCTGTAATTCCATGTCCAGCTCATGGAAGTGGCAGCTTCCTTCTTGTGGGACAAAGTAATGAGACAAAAAAAAAAAAACCAGGCTATGTCAGCTTCAGTTTCTTCTATCCTGTAGCTACATATTTGTCCTTTGAGTCATGATTCTTTAACTCCAGTCCTCACACCCTGGCCTGGATTTCCACATTTAATGAGGTTGCAGGCTGCTGCTTCTCACTGTTATCCTCAATCAAGTTTTATTGATTACTGGGACACAGCATCAATGGAGAGAACATTACAACCAAATGAAACAGCTGCCCAGCAGCTACTGGCACCTTTTTGTGTTCCAGAAAAACACTCACCCATATTAAAAAACAATGTCATTGCCTCTCCTGTTCAGTGCTGCACACTCCTTGCTGTGCACTCCCCACTCCATGATCCTAGACTGTACTGTAATCCTGCAACCCTGTCACTCCCTTTCTGAGAATCTGCTTGATGTGGAGAGAATGAACATGCATGTTTGGAGATGCTGAGTGAAGAGCTGGGGGCAGGAGGATTGCTCACGCTCAGTTTGATGTGGGTAGGTAAAAAAAATGTAGTATTTTATACAGCTTCTTTCCCACTCAGACAGAAGGAAACCTGCAGAAGGCTGAAGAAAAAGCTGGTGAAACCCAAGGGTTACTTATCTTGCAGTTATCTATAACCAACTCAAGAGTTAATGGCAGAGAAACCCCCTGGCCAGGTACTACCATAGGTAACATGCTTGCAGAAAATTAACAGGTCAGAAAAAGTGACCAGCTACTCTCATTATGAGGGATTAATTTAAAATGTACTCAATATTCTACATTAAAATCCAAGGGTTAAATCAGCTAAATTATAAATCCTTTATGAATGGCAGTTTAAGTATTGTCAAGGTAACGCTAGAACAGAAAATAAGAGAATTGGGGAATTTAAGATACAAAATGAAATTGTGCTGGGGGGACTGAGCTAATAAAATCTCTGCTAGGTCTTAAATGTTCATTATTCTTTAGAATGGGTGTTTGAATGAAAGCAGGGTGAGAGCAGGGACCAACAGATGTGCATTTCCATGAGCAGTCTTGGAAAGGGAAATGAGTTTGTTTGAAGCCAGGACCCTGTTAAACACAGCAACCCGTTAAGATACGGGCTCTATCCCACCACACCATTCTTCAAACTCTTCCCATTCTTTTGTAGGTATAAATTGCAATTCCTCAAGACAGTTCTAAGTAACCAAAGAGTTACTGCTACTCTATTTCTACCACTTCCAACTCTTCTCCTTATTGCTAAGAATTACTTTTGCCATGGGATAATATGTGCCTTGGAAAAACATGCTTCAAAGGAAGCATAGTTGAACTCCTCATTCCTTGATCATAAGGTTCCCTATTGGATTGCATATGATTAATGACTAACTGTTTTCTATGAAGAACAAACACACAACAAAGGGTTGTCTGCACAGAAAAGGGGGGAGGAACTTCCATAATTTCCTGTAATTTGTGTGTCTCAAGCCATAAGGAAATGGATCTCTCCCTGTGCACCTCTGCAGAGCTACACAGTTAATAGTGAAGGAAAACATAACTCTACATTTCTTCTTCATGCAATTACAGGGATCTAAAAAGGATAATCATATCTATGCAGTCCAGCATGACCAATCATTACAAGAGATAGAATAGCCAAATTAAACAAATACATGAAGTCTACTACAAAGGTAAGTGCATGTTAAATGTACCAAAGTCCATATAATTTTCTTGATTACTTCACCCACCTCTATCTACCCCCTTCCTTAAGCTTCTGGTTGTTGTTCTTAAGAAAGCTTTAATTCTGCATTGCTTGCAGACTGTAGATACTGTGTGTTCCTTCCTGTCACATGTGGTTGGTGATGATGTTACCCAGAGAGAGATGCAGGTGAAGGAGCTGGCTGATAGTGCCAGTACTCCCATACTTCAGACAGAGGCGACATGGACATGCCCAGCCTAGATTTCAACTGCTGCCTTCAACTTGAGAAAAACAAAGCAACACAGAGCTCCCACCACTCCCAACCTGGCACTGAGGGACCAGCCAGCAGTGAGCCCAGTGTACACCATGAGGCTCTCCAAGGTACCAGCCCAAATCCACCAGTGGAAGCCCATGGCCATGCTTCCCTGAAGTATGTAGTCAGGATCAGAAACCCAAGAAGGCAGCAGACTGTGTATTTGGAGACTGCTTCAGTCTTCGAAGGTCTTGTCCTACCCTTGGATGTCTTGTAAGTAGGGGTTACCCAGTACTGCCAGCGAAGAGCATCCTGCTCACATTTTGCATTCCCTGGGAATGCAGGTCCTGATCCTTTTGTGGAGCTCCCCAGTGCTTCCACAGTGGAAGTGATATGTCTGAGTTTCATTAAACGGGGGACATTCTTTAGCTGTCCTTGTGAGAAATGGCAAGCCAGAGCTTAATCAGGCACTGACTGGGGATGTTTTCCAGCTGGTACCACTCACACTCAGCACTAGGCTATTTTGTTAAATTTCTCTGCCCTTTGTTACTCTTTGTTCAGAGATGGTTTTACCATATCTTTAAACTGCCATTTAGTGATACAGCTGCAAAGCTCATGTGCTTATCTTCTGGTTTGCAGCTTTTTTTCCCCTGCTTTGTTTTTCCCACAACGTACATGTATTAGCAGCTTTCTCCTGAATTTGCCTTTTTTATGTGTGCATTAATTCCTAAATCACAGTGTGTCATATCCTTTCAACTGCTCATTAATGTCTTTATAACTATGATATTTTATGGCAATTTAACTGTGGAGATTACAAATAAAATTATCAGCTAAAACCAGAATGATTAGTAAACCAAGATAAATGCTGTAAATTAATCATCATTTCATACATCATACCAAGATTTTACATTTTCATGTTACTATGGCAGATGCAAATTGTTGAGGTGAAAATTGTTGTAGAAATTTTAACTATAACAAAATATCAGTCCTTAAACACCAACAGAACCGAGATGGGGAGTTTCCAGCTAACCTTTCAGACACACACTTTCATCCAACAACAGCCATTTTGTAGTAGGTACCTGCAGTTCCTCTGTCAGTTCCTATCCCTTCATTTTTCAGCTGATGCGTTGAGGAGTGCATTAATGACTCAGCACTGCGGCCACTGCTTCCTTCAGTTAGACAGGAAAGACTAGAACTCACTTGTCTGTAGCCTTTTTGGGACAGGACACACTGTTCCTTCTGAGTTTCTCTAGGGCAGCCTTAGATGTGAAGAGAACATTTTCTTCTGCGAAAAGAAATGAACAAAATCTTTTCATATTATTTAATACAGATGTGTACCCTACTACTCTCTAGCACAAGCCCATACAAGCCTATTCCTCCCATGCCCAACTAGAGAAGCACACGCAGTCCCTCCACATTTTAAATTATACAGCACTGGCTCAGCTAGACAGAAAATGTGCAGGGTTACTTCCAGACAAAGATTAATCTTTCTTTGATATATTCAATACTTCACATGCTCCACATTATCTGGTGAGTATATATGCCTTGCCTTCAAGAATGTGATGTACTATGCCATACATCATGGTCTAATTTATTGAGTGCACCTCTGCAGCATGCACTGCATATCCCTGCCCAGGGTCAGGATCCGGTGCCAATCTTCAGTCCTGGTTTTCCCAGCCCTGGGACTCGGCTCTGAGTGCCAGCACTGCCGTGGTGTGTACAGCCAGTGCCGATCACAATGTGTACTTGCACAGTCCAACACAGCTTCCTTTCAGAGCAGGTGTACAGTCAGCATAAAGCTGAGCCACAAACAACCCACTACACTCATTAGAAGCAATATCCTGGGAAAAGCATGCAATAATAGGAATGGTGCCACCCCAGCAAGAGCCACTGGAAGAAGCAAAGCACATGCGCAGACACTGGCATCCAAACAGACTCTGCTGGCCTTATTCTACAGCTAGGAGAGTCAAGTTCTCCACTTGCCACACTCACCTACTTGTATGACCGCTATCTTTTAAAGACAAGGAAGTTGAGAGACAGAAAGATGACCCTAGCTCACCCAAATTAGCTTCATCTTCAGGGAGATTTCCATGGAAATGGAGCAGAACAGGCTTCTCGTTCCTACACCAGATCTTCTCAAGACATCTGCTGTGTCCAGCACTCTTCCAGTGTTAGAGTCACAGGCCAAGAGGTGTTAACAGCCTGTGTGGTCTGAATGGGAGGAAGAAAAAACAGATATAAACACCAACTTTTACATGCAGTTCAGTTTGTTATATTGCAGACCTGGGGCTTCTGCAGAGAAGCAGCCTGGAGTACTATCTTACAGTTCTTTGCTATAACCACAGCACAAGTCACCTTGTGTCACGTAATGGACATACAGTAGTGTGATTAGAAGGACTAACCCCACATGTGCCTCCTTTTTCAATGTGCATATGAGCACTGTTGTCTATAGCTCTATAGCTGCACTTAAATGGAAGCATGCTGCATAAATATTGATACTTGCTGTGATTAATATCGCTATTTATATTAGCAATGAATTGGGTTCACATAAAAATAATTAGCACAGCATGCCTGGGTATTATTTGCTCCTAATTATATCACAGTTCATTTCACCAACAGCAATGTGTCACTAAGTCAATAACAACCAATGATTAATACACAGAATGGATTACCTTAAAATAATACCCTGGGTTATGATGGAATATTATTAGGAAGTCCCCAGATAATTGCTTTAGGTGAGTTCCTGACTGGAGTCACCAATACTAACGTAAATTGTAAGCACAAGCATAAAAAAAAAGAGATGTTACTCAGCATTTCTGTTTGGTCATTTTGTGCTTTTATCTTTCCCCATCATTTCCTTTCACACACAGAAAGTCAAGGGTGACCCAGGGTGACAGTGTGCACCAAAGCACTGGCACTACCATCAGCAACTTGTCATCCCAGCAGCCCTACCCCTCACTCCAGGAGCAATTCAGTGTCATTCAAATGACTCCATGCCAGAGCAACCAGAGCCCTCCACTGTCACTCTGATTGCTCCAGTTATACTCTTAGAAAGCACCTCCCAGAACACAGACTCAGGCAATTACACCCCAGTCACACCACCCAGGCAGCAGCACAAATATAACAAACACGTAATAAACCCAGCCAACAAAACCATCCCCAGAGTCCGCCTCCTACATCTGCCCAGCCTCACTCATCTCCCAACTCCCTTGAGCAAGTCATTTAACCACTCTCTTTGCCATCTGGAAAGCTGGGACGTTGCTGCTGCCTCAGTACTCACAGGCTATCAGGAGACTTTGTTTACTGGAGTTTGTGAAGAAAACTGAGATATTGGGATGCAATGACTTGTCATGGTCTCTATTGTGCAAGATGCTGGCTCTGGCCTGGATCCAGCAAAGCACTTAAGCACTTGGTTATTCCTTAAAAAAAGTAGAGCAACTTTTCCACTAAAATTATCACAGCAAATATATTCAGAAGAGCTTAAAAAATAGCTTAGATGAAATAGGGCCATTTGATACAAGTCCTGATTCCAAGGCACAAGAAGAATGGCTTCATGTTCTGAAGAGCAGTCTTTTCACTTCTGGCTTCTGATGACACCTGCCCCATTTAAACAGATGAAAGTGGCCACGTGTCAACACTGGAATCAAAAACTTTGACAGATGAAGATTTACAGCTCGTTTCAAGAGAGCAAATAAAACTTCCTTTTGCTCATCACTTATTAGTGGAGACAAACTTGGATGTAAGTTAATACTTCTCGCCAATCTCTGTCAAACATACAGCCAGCTAACGAATACTAAATATCCCATTGTATATTGCACACCCATAGATCAACCCAGCCAGCAGGAACACACTCAGCGTCTTTATGGTGTGCTACTGCCCTCATGTGTAATAAACATTCCTAACAGGGATCTGGAACTGAAAAATGCTGCCTTGGATTTCATTAGCATGGTGCTGGCGCAGTGTCATGGACAAAAACATCCTGGTTCCCTGCAGCTGAAAACCCAAATGAGAAATCAGGTAAATATTTTAGCACAGGGATGTCTGGCTTTTCCTTGCCCTGTTAATGCCAGGACAGCACGATCCCTTCTCATTTGTTCTATGGTAACTTCTACAGCTCAGACAGACATTTGTGACAATCTTGTTATAATAGATCTTGAGACAAGGTGATTTATTTTTTTTTAATAGTTCAACTATTTTTTAGGTACAAAAATAATCAAAATTTGAAAGTTCTCAGTACATTGGCTTTTTTAAAAAATACATCTGAGAGTAATATTGTCAACATTTTATGAAAAGCAGGTAGCTGGGAAAATGAGCTTTTAAACAAGAGGCTGAGCATAGTTCAGAGCTCTGAAGATGCCTCAGTGATGGGTACAAACATCCAATGAGAGAGAAAACATAGAACTTATCTCTGCAGAAGCAGCAGAGACTCAGCTCTGACCAATCTCTGTGTAGCAAAGATTTCTCTCCAAGCAGAAAACACAACTAGTTTCCTGTCCTGTCAGACCTTCCAGATGCTGCTCACTCAGTGGCCTCCATCTACAGACACAGCCAAAAGTCAAAATAAAGACAAAGTCAGGGAATCAAAACCACCTCGAGGTAAAAAATGACCAGGTCAATAATTTCATTTTTATTTCAACCAAAAGCAACATTTCCAGCTTTGAATGTTGATAACAATGTCAAGTAACAGCAAATAAGCCCACTTGGTCATTTTAGAAATGTTAAAATAGGACATATTGAAACGAATCAAAAAGGTATTACTGTAAGAAGTCCACTACCTTCTCTTGCCTACAAATCCAGCTTCAGAATCAGTGGGTTCCCAGCGCTGGCCTTGCAAACCACAGCACAATGGGGACAGGGACACTTCCCGCCTGGCTCTCACTCTTTGGGCATTAGCACAAGCTGTGTGCCAAACATGCACTAAGAATGCTTTGTGCCAAGCTCCCAGGTGCAGTCCCAGGTTCAGCATGTTTCCAACGACTTGGGAAGCAGCACAGCAGAGCACAGCAGCTGTCCTCCTCCCCAGGATTCCCAGGATTTAAGAGCATGAACTCCCATCACCAGAGCTGGAACTCTGCTGCTGCAGCTGACCGCACAAACTAGCTCAGCCAAGAAAGCATCAGTGTGCAAGCACAAGTGGGTGAAACATCCCTGTGTTCCTGATTTTTCCCAGGACACAGGATGACCCATTTCTTATTCCCAATTCATAGAAACTTGCCTTTTTCCAGCAGAAGATGGGGACTGAAGAATCCTGTTTGCACTTGTGATCCTTTCCAGAAAAGGAATCCAATGACTTGCTCCACCTCTTGGTTGATTCCACAGAGCCCTGTGCATCTATGGCCTTGTTTAAGGGAGACACTGATTAAGAAAAGTTAATTTACCCACAGGCTGTGGAATATCTTGCACCTCCGCAGGAAAGCTTTGAGAGGTTTCACTGGAAAGGAATGAAGAGCAATATTCTGCTCAGATCCTCAGTTCAGGCCATGAGGGAAGGTCTTCAACAGTCACTGTAACTGTGTGCTTCAGTGTCAGCACTTCAAGAGCTGGAGTTAATGCTGTACACATCTCTGTTGCAGCTATTCTGAAGGGGAATACTGAGTGTGAGCCCTCAGCAGGTTACACCAGAGAGGGCTGTGTGCTCACTAGCACCTTCCAGCCTGACCTGACTTCCAACAGACCAAGGAAGCAGAAGCTGGTCCCAGCCTCGTACCTTCCACTGCTTACACCGAAGGCATACAAGAAATAGAAAACAAGTACATTGAAGCTCAAAACCAGAGTCTCATCTTCTAAGAAGCTTATTATGGTAGTATCTCACCTGGCAAAGGGCTTCTCTGTGTCCTTTCCAACTAGCAGGAATATTCCTCTACATTCCTATTTCACTCCCAGGCTCTTATCTTTCAAGATGAATTAATGCTTTGATTCAAGATTTATTTCCCAATGAAAAGCTCATACCTAGAGCAAGTCACAGTGCTAATGAAGACCAGCACATCTGCCAGGTAGAAGGAGCTGCACACTGAAGCCCAGTGGATCACCACAAAGCATTTCAAGACATTCAGTTCACTGCCTCCATCGTTCAGACACACGTATAGCAGGGAAGACAGATGATACGTGGTTACCCACAGAACTTTATTAACACATTCAGGCTTATGGAAATCTGCAGGCTAAGCTTTTTCAGTTTTTCTTTTTCTGTTTTTTTTTTTTTTTTTTTAAATAAGATATTTTCCACTAACAAAACTGATTTTTAAGTATGGAGCAGTCATTTGCCAGGTTTTCAAAGCCATCTGTTTTCAAAGCCTACCTTCCTTGTTGTTTACCACAGGCTGCCTATCTGTTTTAACAACCTCCACTGGGATTTCACATACCTCATTATGCAAAATCACTACTTATGCATTCACTCCAGCACTTGTCTAACTAATCTGCACTCATAACACCTTCCGTAGAAGATGCAGCATCCCTCTTCAGAGGCTGCAGATCAAAAACAATAGTAGCTGGTGTCATAGCAAGACAAAACATAGCCTCCTGTGTATTACTGTTGTGATACAGGCCCTAATCCAAGGCTGCTTGGAGCTGCTAAAGTATAATAAAAAAATACCATATCACAAGAGATTTGTATCATATTCAAGATAAAAAGCATCTATTTTTAATGTTGAGACTTCTGCTTTTCTTTGTCGAGAGGATTCTAAGTATTTTGGTCTCCCAGTCCTCATTCCCCAGCAATCTGATGAGCACCCTCAACCTACTCTGAAGTTCTTCATGCCCTACTGCTTGGTTCATATCCAGGCACCATGTGCTTTTCCTGCCAGTTTTCCATATGTAACAGGCAGTCCTAACATCTGACAGAGCTTAAGCCACTGTTTAGAGCCTCCCTGCACCCCTCTTCTAGATACCTCCGTATCATCAGCAGTTCATTGACAACAGACCTTCCCAAGTGCTCTGGTCTATCCTGTCAAGGCCTGCTCAGGGACCCTTTAGCACACATCACTGACACAATCCATCACAGTAAGAGCTTGCTGGGGGATGCTTGAATTCACGGCTTATTAACACAATAGACTATAATGTCTGGTACCATTATGGCTGGCTGTGTCACAGAACATCCTCAGGTAAGTTAAGAAGCAAAGAGAGAGAATGGGAGAGGAAAATAAATTCTCTCTGTTGTTGTATCAGATCCACTGTGTATGGTATTCTCCAAGTAATTATAAAACCCCAGAATTTATTGACATTATTTTCTTTAAAATAATCCATTAGCTCATCCTTCTTGGACAATGTGGCTATCATCTCTATTTGTCTGTTTGAGAGCTAAATTAAATGCAAGACTTGCCATTCTTACATTTTTCAAACCCAACTCTAAATCACAGCTGTAATGACACTACTACGGGCAAGATTTAACTCAAATTCAAAACGACAAAGTGACTTTAAATGTTTATCTTACATGAGGAAGCAAAGGGAATTCCTCTTGAGCAAAGTACAAGAAATTTAAGCTAGAAATAGAAAAAAGTGGAATTTCATGGTTGAGTTGTGATTTCCCAGAAAAAAATATAATAGAACAGCCCTATAAAAGACTTCAGATCTATGAAACTGGAAGTGTTTTCTGAGTGAGGTAAGCATCCCATCACTATCCCATTTCAGACATGTGAAAACAAGAGATTGGAAACAAAATGAGACGATGGACCTTTCCAAAACGTGGGCATCGGCTCTGGCCCCTGACCCATGTGCAAACACCATAACCCTCCTCTCTGCCACCCTCACCTCCACTTCCAATCCAGGATGCTACTGCCTCAGAGTCTCAAAGAATCCCTTCACTCACTCCTTTTGCATAACACAGCAGCAGCAACATGTGCCAGAACCAGGGACTTCCAGGTTGGAGCACAGAGTGGCAAAGGTGATGTGAGGAGAAGCTGCCCACTTAGACAGTCATGGGCAACAAATCAGAGGCAGAAAACCAGATCTTGCTGGAGGGCTGGAGGTCGCTTTAACAGTGTGGGAACTGGCTGTGATTTTACCTGCACTCAGCAGGGCCCAGGCAGCATTGCCACATATCTGTCAACACCTCCTAGCAGCCTTGGTCCTCCTGAAATCAAAAGAAGCTTTTGTGGAGTGGCTCATGAAGTGAGGCTCCACAAGAGAACTACACGTAACATCCGTGTTTGTATCTCACATTGTGACAGAAACAAACCCAGAATCAAGAGGTGTATTTCTTTGTTTTCCTTAGACACAAAATGGAAATCAACCTATTCACTCATTGTTGCACAACATTTTACGGTTAAATATGCTTTTATTTATAACACCCTTTGTACTGTGAAAGGCTGAATTTATATAGCTGCATTAGCATTTTTAGATGCTATGCAAGAAAACAGATTCTCTTAAACCTATTATTTGGAAACCCTAATTAAGTTTGTATACACCTGTATTATACATCTCCACTAAAGCGTAAATTACTGTTTCTTTTCCCTGCATTTGCTTTAGTTGGCTGTCTATTGTTCCCCACAGCAGAAGTTTAACAAGTACTTGCATTTTGCTAGGTGAGCAGCTCTGACTGTTGGTTGATACAACTCTGCCAGCACACATATTCATAGTAACAGCTCTAGGTGCTTGATCTGCCTTGTACACTTTGGAAAAGCATAAAGTCCATCATTAGGATTAAACACTGTCATGCAATAACATCAGGAGATAGTAGGTATGGATCAGGATTATGCTTCGCTAGGCAGTGGATAAATATGGAATAAAGAGCAGTCCTTGCACGAAGTTGTCCAAATGATTTATATGAACGCCAGCTACAAATAGGATCAGATTAACTTTCAGCTTCAGTAAATATTTGTTTCACTGGAACCAAATCCTCTGCTTCTATAGGCTGGGCTAGAAATAGCAGGCTAGCAATCCTAGGCACACTGCAATTACAACACTTAAGAATAGTGGCTGGTGGCCCCAGGGCAAAACCCCATCAGGGTAGATTACAGGTCAGATAGCTAGCACAGACATGTTCAATGTTTGCATTTAATGCATTCTGGTCAGGAACAGCTCTACTCTTCACTGCACAGCTGGTTTTCAAAGCAGCACAGAGAGCAGAAACCATCTTAGCAGTGTTCTTAAATAGTCCCTTTGAGCTCACTCATAGTGTGATTTAGAAAACTGCTAGAACAAGGATCAGAACTGCACTAAACATAAACACAAGGGAAGTCAAGCTGCTGGAGACAAACATTACATAAAACAAACATCGTGGAAAAAAAAGAAACACCTGGAGGCAGGAGCCTCAGCTCAGCACTGGTGGCAGCATCAGAGCAGCAGCATACAGGGGAGGGGAGCACACCTGAACACAGAGGCCAGGTCAGCTCAGTACAGAGCTGTGTGCTCTGCACTGAACTAATTCACAGAACTAACTCAAACTGCCAGCGTTAATACGATTGCTTTACTGTGTGGTTTAAATTTGGATTTTGCAGCAAAGCTGCAGAGAATTTAATTGACTCCTTTTATAGTTTAACTCTCAGCTACAACATCAATATTAGAAGAGGAAATGTCATTTCTCATTTAACTTAATTTCTGAAGAACATGTTTCTGTAACCTTTGGTATGTAATACTTTTTATTTCAATTGAAAAACATCTCTTTTAAGTGCTAAAGTAGGCTAATAGGAAAGCTGATACTCAGTTAACCCATATTTTCAAAGCAAATAAGCCCTTTTTGCATAAATGGAGGCCATCAGTCAGCTTTGGTCTAATTCCTCTGAACTCAAAAACAGTACCCCAGAAAGGAAGTAACTAGAGAACACTCTATGAAGATTTGAGCTGGGGTCTTTGTGCAGGCAAAGACAGTCCCTGTCTTCACAAACCATGTTACCAGTGCATGGCATTCTCTCGACTGCAGACTGAGGGCATATTTATGATTTTTACGAAGCCAACACTCTACACCCTGGGACTGGAAGCTCTATGTTAGCTGACTTAAATTAAAATATTGAAGCTTGGGTTTTAAATCATGCTAGCAGCTCAAGCTCAAATTCCTTGCTTCTAAGGTTCCAGTCCCATGCGAATATGTAATGCGCCATGATAAAGAACAAGGAAGCAAAATCAGAACATATGTGATTTAAAAGGCACATTGCAACCATTTTAAAACCAATTATCTCTTCTCAAAGTACTAAGGAAGGGAGAAAACCTCCCACTCTAAAGTTTAACTGGACTCCATCCAGCCCACTTTGCCCAGGAATTCAAAACAGCAATGCAGTCCTAAGCTACTTCTTAAGTTGGATTTCTCCTACCTATATTCTCTGTGCTAAGATGGCATCCTTAAAATGGGTATTTAATGAACATAACATGAAGTAAGTTAACATCAAGTTGTGATGAAAAATAGAGTCTAACTTCTATGCTTTTGCAATTACTGCCTCTCAGTTCAAATTTTCTCTCCTTCATTAACAATTGCCTTTAACTAAAGTAACCATAGCAATGCTTTTCAGCCTTGATGTCTTTTGTTTAGCTTGCTTGAAGATGAAGTCACAACATAATTTTCACCCACAACACTTATGACAAACTTCATTTCAAAACGAAGGCATTATTTCCAGTAAGGTATGAGAGAGGAGGTTTCCACAGAAAATAATCATTTACCTTTAGCTTTAAAGAAATAGCATGTAATGTCTGCTAGTACAATGTTCTTGCCTCAATGTTGGAGCTGATTTGAATTCTCCTGAAGTTTTTCGAGTCTGGTGACATATACAGACAGTGAATCAGTGCGAGAATTTGAATTCTGGTTTGCATTAGCAGTTCCTCAATATCTGTGATAGGACAGAGCTCACAGGGTCACAAAACACATTTTGCCCATGTACTTCCCACAGCAACAAGTCAGGAAAAGCAAGCTGGAAAGATCAGTACACGCTGGCACAAAGACCACAGAGGTGAAAGGATTGTATCAGCCATTTCATTGGCTCTAATAAAAGTGCAAAGACGTCTAGCAGGAACCACATGAAATTTAAAAAAGAGAAGAAATCAATTCAGCTGAATTTCAGGAGGGGCAGAAGGGGAATCACATACCAGCTCTCCTTCCATATGGCTCTGTTTGCCACACAGACCCTGAGAGCTATGAGGGAGTCTTGCTTTGACTTGGTTCTGGCTACACATATGTACTCTTTACAAATGCTTAACATTCTACCCCCCAGAGTACAGCACACAGCAAAAATGTACTGGATATTTCCAACAAGAATATTTTAGAATAAATTATAAGAGTGGAACTGCCATCTGGGAAATAAAAAAATCATAACGATATAGAAACCTTTTTGTTTAGTTGAAAACACCTCACTGGTTACCTCCAAACCAAAGGTTACCTTGAGAATATATAAACAACTCTTCAGTCTTCTTTTTAGTCTCTGGAGGCTCTATCAGTCCTATCAGAGTCCTCCTGGGGCTCAGACACAGTCCTTCACAAACTGAACGGTCACTTCAGCTCTGTGTCAGTTCACAAACTGGCTCCCAGTCTCCTTCTACCAACCACAACACAGAAACACAGAGCAGGAATGTTACATAAACTCTTCCTCTCCTATAGGTGGTATGCTGTTATATGATACAAACACCTGCACTCAGATCTAACTTAACCATTGTCTTTATTAATTGCTTCTGTACATAAATTGACTTGTGATTACATTCATGCACAGTGGGACCCAAGAATAATTTATATTACTGGTTGTGCCAAAGACAAATTAATTTTAAGTTAAAGAAACTATTTCCCCCATTAATATTGGAAAGATGGCCCAGTTTTAGTAGTCCAGTACTAGAAATCATTGATACTATCACATTATCATTTGGATCTGATGGTTCTATGAAGCCTCTTTACTGACCTCCAGAAGCTCCTGTTCAGCTGTACACTCACCCTTCAGGCCAGTTCTCTGTTCAGCAGCAGGGTTCTTCTACATATTTAGACGCCTCCTCACTAATCTGATTACTCATCACGGTAATCTAAAACCCACTGTATTAGGTTTAGTACAGGCTTTGGATCAGACCACCACACTGGCAGCAAAACCTGTACAACATATCTGACAGGCTGGACAAAAATTTTGTTGTAGTTTTTGCCAAGGGAAGAGAGATCCAATGACTTTCCAAAGGGATCTGTTTCTCACTCCACCTAGTAAGACGCTTACTACTGTTGAGGCTGCACAAAATAGTTTACTAAGGCAACTTGCTGTTGCCAGTTGAGACCCCAGTGTTTAATCATGATATGCAATCATGCACAATACACAGGGGCTGCTACTACATTTTGTAATTGCACGTGAAACACAGAAGCTGGCAACTGCAACACTGGTATTTAGTTTGCCTTTTCCCTGCAAAGTCCCTACTTCTCCCTCATATGCTGTATTTTTACCTTCAAGCACAAGTGCTAAGTACATTTAATACTGGCAATTCCCCAGGATTGTATTTTTTTCTAATAAATCAGATTTTCTGCTGTTCTAGCCCATTTCTCTCATCTCCTTCCCTCTGGCAACAGCAACGGCAAGTGGAAAGCTGATACAACAAAGCTGGGTTCCTGCAGCAAAGCTCAGTGCCAGCCATTGTTCTTTCTCCACATACCTGCTCACAGTCTTCACATTCAGTGCTTCTGAATGTTTTCTTTCCCTCCACAGTGAAAGATCTGAACAAGCACCCTCTCACCAGACTCAGCAAACCCCCCAAAGCTTTCTGCTGCTGCCACAGTAGGGGGATATTTGCATCTTTCCCATCTCCCACTGGTCAAAAGCTGGTTTCCTAGAAGGAATTGTAAGGATGAAATGAAAATAAAAGCCTGGGGACTAGCTCTGCTCCTTTCCTGCCTCTCTGGAGAACCTCAATAGCATTGTTTCTTCTGCAGCAGTGGGTGATAAGCACCTACATGAATCTTCTAGGTTCTCATACAGAGGGGGAAACTGTTCTCCTATTTCAGCTCCCTTGTAAGGCTCAGTGCTAAATCATGGCCTGCAAGCTTGCTTCACACTGAGGAAGAACAAAACGTAGCCAAAACCCATGCCTTGTCCCTGTGAATAACACTGATAGAGTGCCTGCAAAAGGCATCACCAACTGAAGTGGCCTGAAGCCACCATCTGATGCTGGATTTTGGCTTCTCTGAGGCCTGAAACAAAGAGGACTGAACACTGTCTTTTACTGAAGTTTCTCAGTTTGCCAGTCCTGACAAAATCGGCATTTCTCTCAAACCACCTGCATCCAAAGGTTCAGAAACCAAGCTATGGAAAAGAAACCCCTCATCTGCAGCATCACTCACAGTAAACAACTGCAAAATCAGAAGTTTTTAAGTACATGGTGGGTTGACAAGGTATCCCCCAAAGCTGCTCTGTCATTCCCCTCCGCAGCTGGACAGGGGAAAGAAAATAGAACAAAAGGCTCATGGGTCAAGATAAGGACTGGGGCAAGACAGACTCAAGCTGGGGAAATTAGCTTAATTTATTACCAATCAAATCAGAGTAGGATCATGAGAAACAAAACCAAACCTTAAAATTACCTTTCTTCCATTCCTCCCTTCTAGGGCTCAGCTTCACTCCAAATTTCTCTACCTCTTTCCCTCAGTGGCACAGGGGGACAAGGCAGCTCATGTACACCCATGGTGAGAGGGGACAGTGAGCCCAAACTTCAAACACGCATACCTGGATCACCATTCTGATTTCCCAGTTAAGCTCACCTTAGTGCGCAACCAGCAGCATACCCGATACTACAGAGATTTAAACCAGCAGAGACGTATGGTGTATTTCAAGTGGATTTACATGTAAGTAGTATTTTATTTACTTCAGAAAATGATTACTTTTCTGTTTAACACTGGAGGGGGTGATGCAGTTTTTAATTAATTTGCTGGTTTGGCTTTTTAATGTCAAGAAAACAAATGGAGCAATATAAAAATACCAGAAAACAGCTAACATCAGGGACTATAATGTAACCATAAAAGAAGCACTTTCAAAGCACTTGCAAAGTTCAGCCACATGATTCCCATTAACTATAATGAGCACTGGACAGATAAATTCACACATGTTGCTTTGAAGATTTATACTAAATTGGCCTCATCTTTGTTAGCACTAAAGGAATATTGATACTATACAATATAAAAGAGAAATCTTTTCATTTGCCCCCTGCAATTTCTTCATTACCTACAGAATTATCAGTAGCCAGTCATACTACCGATTCATAATCTTCCAGTTTTACAGTTTATATATTAACTATAGCCCAACAGCCAGTCTCTGCAGAATACAGTGCTAAAATGCTCCTTTGTTTAAAACACAGGCCCAGCTAGTTGTGCTCTGAAGCACATCAAAGACCTGAACAAGTGAAACAGCACAGGGATAGAGCTGCTGCTGTAGAAGCCAATCCGTATTACCTTGCCAAATATTTAATTGCTATGCATGTACGTTTGGCTTGATCTTGTGCTGCTTTGAAGTAAAGATATTAGCTCCAATTAATCCCAAAATGACCTCCAGTTATGGGCTCTGGAAACAAAGAAAATAAAACAGAAGTGGCACAGGAACAATGCGAGCTGCCTGCCCTTTTATTTCTTTCTCTCTCCCTCCCCGCCTTCCTTGCCTGTTTTAGGATTTGGTATTCATGAATGATGCTGAATGGACCCTGCAAATCAAGTTTCTTCTCACTCACAAAGATAGAAGAGCCTCAAGCTGGGCAAGCAGTTAACTCCCCACCAGTGTTCCTCAGACTTGCACTGTTGCTGTTAGAGCTGCTGGCCTGTAGCTTGAAACCTGGCAAGTCTATCATAAACAGCCTTAATATATTAAGAAGTTCTTCCCTGTGAGGGTGCTGAGGCGCTGGCACAGGTGGTCCAGAGAAGCTGTGGCTGCCCCATCCCTGGCAATGTTCAAGGCCAGGTTGGAAGGGGCTTGGAGCAAGCTGCTCTAGTGGAAAGTGTCCCTGCCCATGGCAGGGGTTTGGAACTGGATGAGCTTTAAGGTCCCTTCCAACTCAAACCATCCTGGGATTCTATGATTAATAATCCAGTGTTACCAACCGTAAACTGTGAAGATGAAACTCAGGAACTCACAGATCCAAACCTATTGCTGCAGCTAAAGGGCATTCTAAATGAAGGACTTCACTCACGTTACACAAACAAGCCAGCCACCAGAAGGGAGCAAAGAGCTGTTACTTGTGTTGACAAAAGCCTTTGTCACTGTCTTCCTACCCACCGTTTTCATCTCAACAAGTTCAACGCTTCTGAAATCTTTCATTTCAGGGTTTTACTGAGAGGACACATCAACACTCTTAGCACCCAGATACACCAAAAGATCCATGTACTACTTTGCCTAACACCATGGAAAACACCTCCCAATCCATGAGAATTTCTGAGGTCTCAAACGACATTCCTGTACTAAATTGAGTCAGAAATCAAAACTGCAAGCATGTGCCCTCTGACACCATGCAAATGTTACCGCTTTCAACAGATAAACCAAAAAACCGCCAACCCAAAGCACTAGAAAGAAACAATGCCTTTTGCTTCTTCTGTCACCATATGCACAGCTCAAACTCCTGCTCTGCCCAAGTTTAACATCTCCTGTACTGCAGTAGGTGTGCACAGAACAGTAAGTGCTGCTCCTCTTTATGATGGCACCTTCACATGAAAATAAATGGTTTGTATTTGAAAGCAAGTAGTAAAAGTGAATGTGCCTGAAGCTTCCCCTCAATGAATTCTGTACCCAGCAATGTGCAAGGCATGGTCTTGTGTACGGGCTTCAAACAGCGCTGTCCTCATGCGCCACCACTCTCCATATGTACCTCCACTGTGGCAGGCAGTCACAAGAACAACTGCTTTCTACTCGTTTTTCTGCATGCACTTTCCTTAGCTGGAAACCTTTTTGTTTCCTAATGTGACACCTTTGTGCTCTTCCTTCTGACGCATCAGACACAAACGTTGCTGAACTCGTATTTCATAGTTTCCTCCAAATCAAAAGACTGCTGAACTACTTAGAGTTACCTCTGTGTCAGCACATTCCCTCGAGGGCAATACTGTCTTTTACCCTTGTCAGTTAATTTGTTCATTGCAACACGAGTTTATTGAAAGCACTCTGAGTCTTAATTAGAACTCTTTAGTTGCTGTTCCCTGTAGCTGCTGTGTCTCAGTATCAAATGCTGTGGAGCAGATTTAAGAAGAAATTTCCTTATAGCCATGGCTTAAACGTGAAATGTAATGAGTACCTGTAGCAACACATTTGTAACTAACTTTAAGCCATGAAATTAAAATATTTACACATGGAAAAAAAACAGACCTCCTTGCAGTTGTCCATCACAGACATACCCCGTTTCCGAAAGCCTACGCAACGCCAGGCACACTGCAATCTATTAACACAACAGGAGGAAGAGTGCACTCGTGTGTCACAGGGATGTGTCAACCACTGAAATGGACAATTCTTATCTCACAGAAAGTTCCTGAACAATGCAAATGATGTTAAAAGCACACACCTGCACTGCCATTGCCTCCTTGTAGTACTCCCTGTAGCTGTGCCTGTACTAATTCAGTTTTCTTGAATACAGGTGACCAGACCTGAGCACAGTCTCACTCACAGTCATACAACATCCATATAAACACCACCATGGTTGTACTATCAATTTGCTGGGTACAGTGTAAAACTGCCCTGAGTGTCCTCTTCAGACACTTCCAAATTACAAGAGACCTGTATAAATGAAATACTTCCTACTAGCCCCAAATCACTCACTTGTATTTTATAACAATCTATTTCACAGTCTACTATTTCAGTCCCTAAGACAGCCCCCTGGCTTCCAGTGTGATGTTCTGTCTTTCTGCCCCTATTTGACAAAGCTCCATAACATGGCACCATCAGTAAGTCACGTTAGCAACCTCTAACTCATTCCTGTTGTGATTACAGTTAGTCACATGTTGTTTGGGGGGCATTTTAGCTTCATCTCCCCCCAGCCTAATATCTCCCTTGACATCACAAAATGGGGCTGTTTTCTAGCTTGTTCCCTGTACCAATTTCCAGCTTAACTAGTAATTTCCCACATGGCTCTGTAGCTAAATGCTTTACTGAAATCCAAACAGATTAGATCTTAGAGACCCCAAAATCCCTTCATGGCTTTGAAAACGACACCAGCAAGACATTATGGTTAACGCTAGTTTGTTTATTTCAATTATGTGCTTTGCTGAATGTTAGAATAAAGCAGACATTCACGTTTCTCTGCTATTGTGGTATGACTGAGAGCTCTCTCCTTAATGAATCTTGGGGCTGAAGGTGAGTGGGCTGGGCATAAATGGAAGGTAAATCAAGCCCTTTTTCCACTATAAACAATGTTCTGCTTTCAGAGCTCCGCTGCTCTTGGTCAAAAGCTCCAAACTTGCAATGACTGCCAATGGAAGGTTTTAGAAGAATAGGGCAATTTTCAATCCAATGAAATACAACAGATGGATGGAGTGGGATCAACTGCTACCCACCCTCGCAAATCCTGGCAGCTGCAGCACCCCTTGGAGCTGCAAGCAAAAAGCTGCTCCTGGATTAGAGTAACTGATGTGATCTCAGATTGCCCAAAAACTTGACCCTGACCATTTCTATCTCCTTCCTCCTACTCACATATACTGCATTCCTAAATATCTGCACCCATGGAAAAGATATTAGCCCATTATTTAGGCTAACTTGCCTGTCTTAAGACAGCCAAACAGCAATGGGTGAGCACAGACTTTGCACTGCAGGTTGGTCATATGTACCGTAGATTTACAGAGCTGGCACGATGGGGACTGCTTGATGTCCCACACGCTACTTTGCATCACATGGAGCAGTATGCTGCCATACCCATGCTGACCAAACAGTGTAAGCTAGATTCACGCAAACAAGCTCTTGAACCAAGCCTCTGTAGCACAGGGACTTGCACACCCATGGCTCTAGCATCTCTGCATTCATGTGAGTTAGCAGTAACTGTATTATTTCTCTTTCCAAACCCTGTTGCTTGCACACGAAAGCATCCTGAAGCCCAAAACATGGCAAAGATACTACTAGGCCAAACTTCACAACAAAGGTGAAGATATAACAAGTATAATTTCACGCAATTTTGAAATAAAATTAACAGTTTTAAATTAGCCTAATAAAAAATACATATCATGGGGAAAAATGCTTTCAAATGGTTCCACATTTCAATGTTTTAAAACAATCATCTGAAAACTATGTGGAAAACTCAGATAAAGGAGCTGATGGGGGAGCTCCTCTGACTGCATCATCTTTAACAGCAGAAGAAACTTCAGCCAGAGTGGGGCCAGCTTTATACTCCCCCTTGGGTTTGCTTCAGTAAAGGAGTTATGGACAGAGATTTTTGGTTTTCAAGAGAACATATTTCCCAAGATTTGTGAAGTATCTTGCATGGATGGTTATGTTATTCCCATTAATGTTAATATGTTGCTGAGGAAATGCATAGTTTACCAATCACATCATCATCAAAACCCTTCTTTCCCCAAGCACAAATTTAGTAAATCATACCTGTAATTTAATTCTTAATCAAGAGGCCCTTGAACCTCACTCCCGAGACTCACTTCATGGATTTTGTTATGCATAGTATGAAAATGAAGTAGAAATTCTAGACTCTGATCTGCTCCGGGTTCATGCCCCTGTCTTCTGGCTTTCCACCATTATGAATTTAAAAGAAAACACTGTCTGGTACTCACGATCCAGTTGTTTAAGAAATTAATTTTCAATGGAAAATAAGGATGCAAACAGCACAAATGGTTTCAAGCTGGAGCAAGCTCCTTGGTCCTAATGTTCTGTGTCCAGAACTGAAAGCAGGGTTTTGAAACATACTTGGCCTTGCCACTGAAGACAAGAGATGACAGTTATGCCTGGGCAAAGCAACTGTGTGTGTCTGTAGAAACCTCTGCAAGATCTGTAAGGGCCTAACTTTACAATACTTGATTTACATGAGCATTTCCCAACCCAAGGTTGCCCCACAGGCTATTGTGACAGGGGGCAAGAATCATGTGCCAAACTGGCCCCTATGGAAAGTGGCTGAAGGAAATCCTAGTAAGTTTTGTTTGATGAAACAGCTTGGTGGAAAGGAAGATGACTTTGAGTATGAATGCCAAAGCTTTCTGCAAAGTGATATTCCTAGGTCTGTTACTGCAATGCAGAAATCAAAATCCTGGTGATTTAATAGTATAGTAAAGTCTGTGTTTTACTAATAGTCCAGAAAGGGGAACAATCAGCATGGTAAAGGAACTTGGTTCCATGATTTCAAGACTGAAAAGGCAAATTTAAAGGAACAAGCATGGAAGTGTATGTGTTTTGTATACATAAAATTGTATCTACTCCTGTGTGACAACACAATGCTGCAAGCACATTTACTATGACTAAAAAACATTCTGACACAAACCTAGAAAGGGTGATCTCTTTTATTAGGAACACAAGTCTTTGCATAACTAACAAAGTATGAAACCCATTTAGGCTGGATGCTTTCTTAATTTGAAGATGATGCACCAAAATTAATGAAG